TGCTTGTGTAGGTATATACATGTGTACATGTATGTGCATGTACAGTAAAAGACTGGGTGCTCTCCAATACCAGGCAAAGGTATTTTAAAAAACGAGGCAGATTACCATCACCATTAAGGATCAGGACAAATTGGGTAGACATGGCCACAAAACATATAAATTGGAGAGCCAGAACTAGAACCCAGGTCTTCCGATGTTTATCTTAATGATTTTCTTTTCCCATTACGTCACATCACCACCAGTCTAAGATTAAATTATTTCTTTAGTTCAGTTTAGAGTTTAGTTTAGTTTAGATTTGTTACTGATGACCCAAGGCCCTTTTCAGTCTGGGGTCCAGATCTATCCTTGGTTATAGAAAGGAAGTCACTTAGAGCAGGGCTTTTCAGATTATATGACATTGAAATCTTCTGGTCTATAGATTGCTAGAGTTTGGTGTATTTAGCCCTTATACGTATTTGTGAAGTTATTGAATTAAAAAAAATTTGTTTGAATTATGAAAGCACAATTTCTGTATTTGGTTCTGATCATCAAATTATTCTCATCTTCACCTTGTAGCAGGTTGTTTATAACTATAATCAAAGATTATACCAAAAAGAAAAAAAATTGAAAAACAAGTGTTGCCACCTATAGGTGGAAATTTTATTTACTTTACCATATATAGCCTGGACAACAACAAAAAAAAAGAGATGATTTATTACATCTCCATAACCTCTCTTCAACATTATTCACCCTAATATTTACTTTTATTATTTCAGACTTCTATGCTTTAACACAACTACAAAAAAGTGCATAATTTGACATATATAAAAATGTGCCTTGTATATGTTATTAAAACATTACCTCTTAATAATCTTGGATTTTTAATATAAAAATTTCTATGGTTTCAAAAAGATTGAAAGCCATGACTGACCCTACTGGGATTAATGGAGTGATTAGCAGGAAATGAAGGTGTTTGGGAAGTGGTCCTGGTTAGGGGAAGCAAAATTGGCAAAAGGAAATAGGAGAGTAGTAGCATCACAAGAGGGGGCATGTAGGTGGCAATGAATACAGCACTGAGCCTGGAGTCAGGAAGATCTGAATTTAAATCTGGCATCAGACCTTTATTAGCTATGTGACCCTGGGCAAGTCACTTACCTCATTTTCCTCAACTGTAAAATGAGCTAGAGAAGAAAATGGCAAACCATTCCAATATCTTTGCCAATAAAACCCTAAACAGGGTTAGAAGAGTAGGACAAGACTAAACAATAACAAAGCACCAAACAATTCTAGTTTTGGAATGGGCATGTCTACATGTCTTAGCAGCAAGCATACACTTTCATTCTGGGTGGTATTACAGAGAACAGGGTTTGAAGTTATGTTAGCAAACAGTTGTGAAATTGTGAGAATTTTGAAGAAAACTGAATATTTCTGTGGTTTGAAGCTTTTATTTAACTATATTTAACTGCATTAGCAGGTTTAAAAGATCATGCATTTCCAACTGGGAAAATGTTGATTAACTATCATATAGCAAGATCTGAAAGTTTTAAATTTTGTAAAACATTACTTATACTCCCTTAAGAAAAAGCCATGCTTCTTCACACATCAAGACATGACACTTTGCTGACAGTGAAAGTATTGCCAGAATGGGTGAATCTGAATTCTATGATTCTTAGGTATATGGCATGCTATATTTTCCTTCAATAAACATTCACCTATAACACTGAAGAAATAACCTAAACTTTTTAACCTGAATTATGTGACTAGATATAACATTTACAAGAATGAAAATATTTCACTTCTTTCTTAAAATTCCAAGTTTTGCTTTTCAGTTAAGAGTTAATGAAGCCTTCTACTTGGCAAACAATCTCTGTGGCAGAAAGCTAGATTAACATGGTATTGTGCTGAGCAGGGAGTTTAACCCATGATGGTGGAAAACCATTAACACTGCTCTAGCATACTTATCTTCTTAGGGATTTGGGACATATTTTTCTTTGTCAAAATATTTATATTTATATAATATACAAATGTTTAATATTTTCAGAATATCCACATCAGCAATGTAATAAGCACTCTAGAAATCTATCTCATAGAGTAAACCACTATTGTGAAATAATCTTTGAAGTTAATTCAAGAACAGTGGAAAAAACTGTAAAGCACCTAAATTAAATGTTACTCTAACTCAAATACTTGAGGGAAAAAGCAGCAGGATGACAATGCTGCTTTTGGATGTGGATGGAAATTGGAAATTATCTGTTGAACCATGAAATTGTTGGGTTCAAACTTCATATATTTAAGGAAGATGCAAACCTACTTTAAACACTTAAAAATTGCATTCTTTGTGTAGCTCATTTAATGAGTCCAATTTGAGTAGTTAGTAGTGTCAAAGTGGAATCACGACCTAGGTTGTATCTAGAAATCAGCCACAAATGGCAAGTGATATTTACAAAGTATTTTAACCTCTCTGTGCCAAGTTTTTCCCTGCAGGCAAATAAGCATAACGATAATTGCCATTTTCGTTGTGGAGTATGTGCGTTGACATCCTTGGCTGTAAGATGCTAGCTCAAAATCATAGTTAAGAAAGAAGTGCATACATGCACACACAGCATAGGCATGATCCCCTGCTAATGCCCATAAAACATAACTACTCTTCTCCCCTTCTCATCTCTCTACGTCAAAGGAGAGCATAATCATAGCATATATCACTAATCCACTTTCTCTAAAGATGGAGGCAAACATTTTTTTTTGGGGGGGGGGAATCTCTGTATCATACTTTTGAGAAGCACAAAACTTGGTAATCCCTCATGGTCTCTATAGCAATAGTACTGTGCCCCTCACTTAAATCCTTTGGCACATTTTCAAAAATAGGATAAATGGCTTTTTCTGGTGTCTGGATCCATCAGGGAACTGAGAGTTGGGGTCTGGGAGGATGGGATCGGAAGGCATATAAAAACTGTTGCTTAACATTTAAGTGAGCACCATTAATGTATTAAGCGTGAACAAAATATGTAAGCAGCCAGACACTCACTGCCCAATGGGCTGTCTCAATGTGCAGATGAACTAGATTTCAGAAATTCTTTTAAAAAATAATTTTCTCAAGGGAGAGAGCAGCGTCTAGACTGACAGCGGAGTCAGAGTAGCAACATTTCGTCAATTCTGGTCATCGCCAGGGGATCTCCTAAGGTGGTTCAGGATAGGCTTTTCTGATACTGCGACTCCTGAGGGCAAATTTTGAGGGAAGGAGTGGGTCTTTTCATGAAATTTCCCTGCTGGCTATTCTAGTCATATTTACAGAGCAACAAGGGGGGTGTAGGAAGGTATAAGTGGGAGAAGGGAAGAAAAGATGGGATTAAGAGATACATGATTGGAGCAAAGGGTGGCAACGAGAGGCAGAAATCATGAACTCCAAGAAGCATTTATTAAGCTCTTACTAAAGAAGAGATAATAGGCAGTTGGGAAGAATGGTGGGTAGACTTGGAAGGTGAGTGAAATAGTTTAAATTTAATCTTGAATGAAGACTGTGGGTGGTGTCTGAGGGTGTGGACGGGGAGCCTGAAGTGATTTAAGTGGGGAGGGCAAGAGTAGTATAGTAGTGACAGGCAAATGCTAATCGAGTATCGGAGCCATCCCTTGGGTCGAGATTGTTGGTTCTGGCTCAGCTCCGGCTTAGTGGGGGCAGATTTGCGACTATGTGGGCTGTAGCTGGATCGACGCGAAATTAATCGTCCTAGTCCTGGTGACAGGTGTCCCCACACAACCCAAAACATCCTCTAACATCAGGCTCCCTAGAAAATAAGGAGGATGCAAGTGTGTGTGTGAGTCTATACATCCCCAGAAGGTCAGGCCACAGGGGCTGCGTGTTTGCCAGGAGTGATGGGGGAGGAAATCCGCAGGCACTTAAAAAAAAAAGTCTCCTCCGGGGCCCATGCCACAGCCAAAGGATAGAAAGGAATAAAGGGGGGGTGGAGTGGGGGTTATAAAAAAATTACACGAACAAGCTAGGAATCCAACCCCTACCCCCCCACCTGGTCCGAGGAGCCCATCGCCTCTCCTCCCCGCGGGGACCGACACTCCGGAAAGTCCCCCCTAGTCTTCCAGGGATGCCTTTTCACTCCCGGAGTCCGTCCTTGCCCCTAGAGCCGCCTCTCCCAGGGAAGGCAGAGGCACGAAAGACGCCCATGAAAACTTGAGCCTCCCCAGCCCCGGGGCTGCGGGCAGCAGGACAAGAAAGAGCCGCTCGCCGCCTCCCTAACTGAGGAGGAGTAAGGGGGCGAAAATGGGTCCCCTTTGCCTCTCAACTTCCCTCGCTGCCCCGAGCCCAGGAGGACACAGCAAAGTCGCGGAGGGCAGCGTCCGGTAAGGGGGGGAGAGGTTAGCCTCTAAAATGGTCGACGGAAGGACAATCCTTCTCTCCTCCTCCTCCCCCGCCAGTGATCCCCCCCGCCACCTCCCAGCCGGGCTCCGGCGCTGGGCGCCCCGCCTCCCTGCGATCCGGACAGCGGAGCGTGGAGCAGTGATTGCCCCTCCGCCCTCAGCCGCCGTCTGCCGCCGGGGCGCGGTGGACCCCGATGGGGAGGAGGCGGGAGAGACCATTGGAAACATTCGGAGGGGGAGAGCGGAGGGGGCTACTGAAGGAGGAGAACGAAGAGAGGCGGGGGAAGAGGAAGGGGGCGCCGGGGTGCGTTAACCTCTTCCAGATTTCCCTTTCTTTTCTCTTCTTTTATATTAAAGCTTGGTTCAGGGAGAAGCTCCCTTATTAGAGTGAGCGGGGGAGGGGGGAAAAGACATTTTCTTTTTTGGGCAGGGGTGGGCGCGGTTTAGACTAAAAGATCCAGGCGAGAGAACTGGAGTTTGGACAGAAGGGGCGGGGGAGTCCGAGGGTCCCCTTCCTCTTGGCCCGCTCCGCCCCCACCCCCGCCGAGCGCCCGGTCCCCCTCCCGCCCGGGGAGGGGGTGGTGCGTTCCGAGTTCCCAGGAGTTCGAGGCGGGCGGGGTGGAGGGGGAGGGGAGTGGCCGTGGCGGCGGTAGCGGCGGCGGGCGGGCGGCTCCAGCCTCAGCAGCGGCGTCGGCGACGACGGAGTCGAGGCAGCAGCGAGCGCACGGCTCAGTGTCACCCGGCGGCGACGGCGACGGCGGCGGCGGCGGCACGACCGGAGCGAGTTGGAGGCGCGCGCGGCGGAGCTGCCGCTGCCGTGGCCGCCGCTGCCCGGAGCCCGAGGCGCCGGGGCCAGTAGAGGCGGCCGGGGGGGCGGGCGGGCCGGGCGCCGGGGGGAGGGTTAGGGGGATGGCGCGGACCCCGGGGCCGGCACCGCCGTATCCCGGAGGCGGCAAAGCACAACTTTCTTCCGCTTCTCCCCCCGGAGCCCAGCTCCTCCCGCTGCCGCCGCCGCTGCTGCTGTTGCTGCTCTTCCCGCTGTTCTTTTTTTCCCGGTTCTGCGGTAGGTGAAACCGGAGCCTGGGGCTGGGAGGGCGGGCGGAGCCGCCGGTCCTCCCGGGGTCCCGGCCGGGGAGCTTGGGGCCCCACGGCGGCAGGCGGTTGGGGGTCGGCGGTTGGAGGCGCGGCGGGGGCAGCGGACTTTGGATGGAAACTTTAGCCCCGGTGCGCGGCAAGGACTTGCTCCGGCGGCTCCTCGGGGCGCGCGCGTGCGCGCGCTCCCCGCCAAAGTGTGCGAAGTGTGCAAGGGGGCGCACGCCCCGGTGTCTGTGTGTCTGCGTGTGTGTGCATGCATCTGGGTAGCACGGGGGGGCCCCTAGCTCCAGAGCTGGCCTGGGGAGGTGGGCTCCGGGGGAAGGCGTGTCTCCACCCAGCCTCTCCTTCTCCAGTTTATCTCTCCATACCGCGCTCCGCCAGGCTCCCTTTGCGGGAGTTTTATTTATTTGTTTTTATTTATTCCTCTTAGTGCTTAGACTTGCTCCGTTGGTGTGCTAAAGATTCTTTCCCTGTTTGTTCCTCGGGACCGTTACTTTCTGTGTGTGTGTGTGTGTGTGTGTGTGTGTGTGTGTGTGTCTGTCTTGTCTGTGTGTGTGTCTGTCTGTCTGTCTTTCTCTGTGTGTATCTCTCTCTGGTGCTGGAGCCAGAGGTGGGGGGGGACGATGACTTCTGCCTGGGTTTGGGGAGGGGGACCGGGAACAAGAGTGGGATGAAGCTGCACCCTTCTTCCTCCTTTTTTCTTTTCCTAACCCACATCTTCCCTATTGCTTCCTGCGGATCTTGGGCTCCCTTGCAAGAAACCCACAGAAACAGATAGAGACCCAGGAGGCTGGATAGAGCTGTAATTTGGCTCTCTTCTCCGTCCTGGAGTCGGTCAGCATCGGCTTAGTCACCCCTGCAGCATCCCCTACACTCACCTCTTCCTTCCGCCTACCACTGTTCCACCGCCGGCGTAAGCCACTTCTTCCTTTTACTGGAATCCCAGTGGCTGGCCAGTCTCCTGGTTTTGGGGACTCCCCCGACACACACCATTCGTTCTCCCCCTCCCCCCCCCCGCTTCCACCCCACTGTTTGCGTTCCCTTTTCCAAGAATTCCTGTGCCCCCTGGAGTTATGATTTTTTTTTAAATGCCCATTTGCACCAGCTGACTAACTAACCCCCTCACCCTTCAGCATCTTAGTCTTTCCCCTCCTCCCAAGCCTTCTTATTTTCTTATAAATTAAGTCTCTAGTTTTACGAATTAGTTTTAGATCAGTTTCTCCTCCAACATGTGAGTGATGGCGCTGGATGCTTGTAGTTTGTAGTTTTCATTTGTTCCCAGGAGAGTGAGGCTAGAGACCTTATTGTTGGTTCTTGTTTAAAAATCACTGCCTCTTGTGCTGTAGTGTGGAAAAAGATTTCTGTCCCTTTGCCCTATCTCCCTTCTACTCCCTCCCCCCACCGCCCCCCACGGTCTTTGGAAGATTGTTTAAATCCTTATCCATCTCTTTTTCTAAAGGTTGCTGGAAATTTTTGGTGGGGAGCGGTAGTAATAGAAACTTAGATCTGTTCTCCTCCCCACCACCCAAAAAAATCTGTTGCAGGTGAATGCAGGCTGCTATTGGTGGTTGTCAGTTTTAAGGACACAATTGAGAGTTTTGCTAGGTAAATGGTGATTTGGTGAATAGTGTGATTTGGAGGAAAGAGAAAATCCTCGGAGGCAGCTGTGCCCCTGTGGTTGTGAGGAGGACAAAGTTATCTTGCAGAGATTGAGTGCCCCTTATGGGCAGTGAACTCCCACTACCGGTTTATCACCACGTCTCTTGCAGTATAATGAATTAACAAGCTGTTTTTGACTTAGGTGTTTCAGCATGATGGTGTCGGTGGTTTGTCCTTAATTTTACTAAATGAAGTTTTTCTTTCTTCTACAATTCGGGAAAATCTTGAAGACACAAATATCAATGGTGGTGTTAACCTGTATTAGTTTAATTACGTTCCCAGAATTCTGATTTTTTGAGTGACCGATGTGTTTGCATCATAACCCAAAAATTTGTTACAACTTTATTATAATGGTGTGTAATAGAGACTGAAGGACCATAATATTTATCTAAGGAAAAAGGGAGATCTGGTTAGGCAGTGCCCCAATCAAGACTGGGACCAGCTGATAAAAGGATAGGGACTTGACCTTTTCACAGTGTTTGTGCAAGTGAAGTGTTGGTTGCGTTTTGAAGGAACACATTGGTTTGCACATAGAAAAAAAATTAGTTTTTTTCCAATGTGCAAGTATTTTTTGAGGAACTTGATATTTTGTTTTCAAGCACTAAAAAATCTTTTTTCCTGTGTTCATTCAGTATAGGTATATACAACATTTTATAGGTTGTTCTTTAAGGCTTTTTACTTTAAAGTAAACATACGCAGTGCGCAAAAGTCTTAGTGCATTTTGAACTCTTTTTAAAAAGTAAGCTTTTATAATTTAAAGTGCACTAAGACTTTTGGGACACCCGGTATACAAACTCAACTTTTCATTGCAATAGTTTTTTTTTTCCCACCTGAACTGTGATAGTGTTAGGTTGGTCACCTAAATTTATCTGGTTTTCTTAGAGTTTTTCTATTCCCTCAGTTTTAGAATTTAGTCTTTTGAAAATAGGCCTGACTTATGAATTCTTGCTAAGTGAAGATGCTTGAAATATTAAAAAATAAGTTGTTGATTTTATATACATACATATATGTGATATATATATATGCACACACATATATATATATGCACTGGTCAGTCAGTACATGCTTATTGGTCAATATCTGAGTTAAGACTCGTCTTAAAAGATGATTCTGATTTAAAGTGATGCATTTTCATCATATTGTGTTGTTTCAGCACATGCAGTATATATTTTCAGTATTAGTCTTTAAAAATATATACACATTTGGCATTGTCTTACCTGGGGCAATAACAAATTAAGGTTCTTGTTTTTTTTCTGTTATATCTACAGGTTTTTGAATATTTTTTAACAAGTGATAGGACAAAAAACAAATCCCACAAAACTCTGAACAGTGTTAATTGGTTTATCCTAATGTGCCTCTCATATAGTGGGAGCTCTTATTGGTTGAATTGATTATGAATCATTTTGTTCTCTTTTTCATGCATTTTCTTTTTCATTGGGGAAATTACATTTTTAATTTAATTTTAGTCAGTTAACAGTCTTTAAAGTCTTTTAAAAATGATTGAAAATTTCTAACTAGTTGGCCTTACAAATATAAATCTTTTCTTATCAAAATCATTACTTTACTATTAGTGTTGGCTCTTGTTAATTTTTTTCCCCATTTATTTTAGGCAGTACTGGTACAGTTTAGATATAAGGGAACAGTAGGTTGGTGGGGATCTCTTGACAGTCAACAAGTTGTTTTTTTGTTTTTTAATGATAGAAACATCTTCCAGTCGTCCAAATTATCTGTAATACGATACCATATGTCAAGATAGTAGTCTGTTGTATTTCCTGACCATGTGGTTAGAAAATCTGCACGAGGAGTCTATTAAATTTGGAGTAGGACAAATAGTTGAAGGAGACTGGTGGAACTAAGCCTCAGAGAGTAGCAAAAGAATAACTTACTTATACTTACTTGCCCAATTCTATTTTATTTCCATATCTAATAATAGAAGTTGGGGCAAAGATGGGGCATAGGAATAGTTTTGTACTTAACCACTTAATTTTTATGATAAACATTTCTTGGTTTGTTGAAAGATTTCTAGTCCTTGAGTATCACTATTCCTTTTAAAAAAAACATACCCTACAAAACATTTTCTCATTTTGTTTGGTGATATTAATATGTACAATTCTCTCCAACATTACATTTATAATATTTAATATAAATGCAGGTGGTTTGCAATTTAAAATGCAAAGGGGTCTTTTACTCTTTATAGGTATTTAGTAGATACCTGCTCTTTTCTTTTTAACCCTTTATGGTGAGTCTCTCATGTTTTCACATGAGCCATTATTGTTTTCAGTGGTCTCTGAACTTTATTTTAAAAAATATGTTGATAACTTTTATTATATTTAGTTAACTTTGTAATCATATATTTTATTGTATGCATTTAAAAACTTTCTGAGAAGGGGTTCATAGGCCTCACTAAGTTATTTCTATCAGAAACTATAATCCATTTTTACATAATGATCTAACTACAGCATACATTGCATGTCAACTTGATGCTTGATAGTCATAATCCTTAAGTTTTAAAAATTTCATAATTATCATAGATGTCATTTTTACAGATCTTGCTAGCTTTAAATCTACATCCCCAATATTCATTCATTGTATAAAACACTGGAGTATTTAATGTATTTTTCTAAACTTTTAGAGAGAACATTTTACTTATTTCTTTCATTTCTTCCACATATGTTTAAATATCATCTGTGTGTGAAGCACTGTGTTAGATGGGCACAGCTAATCAATACTTATAAAGACTGTTAGAAAGTGTTTAGTAAAGTTCAAATTTTTTTCTTTTGGGGAAGGAATATAGTTTTGGCTCAGTGAAATTTTTTATAGAACAAAGGGAAGTTTTTAAAAATAATTTCTTTTTTCTTATACTTTAATGATCAGATTTTAGATAATTAATTTAGATTTAGTGACTGGAAATCAAAGTACTTGAAATTTATTTGTAAGTATAGGGTGTGATATTGTGATATCTGCAGGAAGCCTTCCCTTCCTTTTGCTAATTATCTCCTGTTTATCCTTTATAGCTTGCTTGCGTTGTGTATATTTGTTTACATTTTCTCCCCTATTAGATTGTAAGCTCCTTGAGGACAGGGGAGTCTTTGTTCCCTTTTTTTGTGTCTTCAGCACTTAACAGAGTGTCTGGAGGGATTTTATATATGGAGAAGATATTTAAGTTTAATTTCAAAAGATTTTAATTTGTATTAGAAGAATGAATAGTAGGAAAAAAACCTATTTTCTCTGTATGTATCAAGAAATAAAATTCAGCCTGATATTTTACAAAATGATACTCTGCTAATGAACAGATATGGTGAATATTAG